CCCTATCGGTGTGGAGGCGTCGCCGTCGTATTAGTTTGAAATGGGGGCACCCCTGGGTGGTAATAGATGCATTCATTTCGCTGGGACGCCCGGACACCTACCAGCGTTGATTGCCTGTATTCATTCATTTCGGGCTCCTATCGGTGTTGAAAGGCGGCATTTATTTCACTGGGGCGTCACAAACCTGCTACTCCCACCATAAACCTCAGCCTATTCACTTCACGTTAGCAGTAACTAGAAGTCTCTTAGTCTCGGCATAGAGTCTCGGGTATCATTGCGTCGCGTCGGAGCGATTAGAAACCGGGTTCTAACGATCGAAATTTCGCAGCTCTAACCAACTTGATATGGTGATGAGGTTGTTTCTAAACGAACATTATGAAGGTTACATTTACGCAGGGTTACTTTTACAGGAAAAGTTGAGAGGGGGAATAAAGTTCGGGGCAAAGGCGGATCCAGGGGCATCTGAAAGGGGGGTGGGCGGCAATACCATTAGGTTTTTCGTTAGGATGGAGCCCGCAGAACCTTACCTACCCCCAAATCCTATTCTTTCCTCGGGTTTCAGCCACTTTATTTTGGAAGGTTGCCAAAAAATAATTTTGCTAAAAAATATACGCACCTACCTTGGCTGTAAGGGGCGGGGGAGGTCCCAACTTGACTGCGCCCTTGCAAATGCCAATCAGTAGTATCAACCTATCAGTGGTATCAATAACTAGTAGGTATACCCCGGCCAAACATTAAGTAACGCCTTTCTAAAGAGAGAGGTTAATCCGCGCCCTGATTGGAGGTCATTTTGGCCCCCATGTGGGTTTTCTTGAAAAGCGAAAAACGGCGGCGCGCAGCGCCGCCAAATTTTTAGTACCTTACCGGGCATCAATTTGAAACCTTCGCACAAAATTTCAAGTCTTAGGTCACCTTAGGTCAGGAGTAATTGATGTCAAACTGTTCGAGCAAAAATGAGCAAAAAACATGAAATTCTTAAACGCTCACAAAAGCTACAGTTAACGAGCAATTCCAAAGTTCTTTGTGTGGTCGTGTATGTAGAGAAACGACGGCGCTACAAAACTGCAACCTCTACAACTACAAGGTGGGCAGTGATATCCGAACAAAAACTAATGAAGCACAAAACTTGAATTATTACTATTAGTATTAGTGAGCAGTGAAAGTTCCATTGGGAAAGCCGGCTGTGATGAGGTACATTTTTTTTTGCGCCCTGCTCTGCATGCAAAGCAGATGAACGTGAATGCTGCATTAAGAGAAAAGTCATTTATTACTCAAAGCTTTAATGCCTATGGGACAAAAATAACGTTGTTTTTCCTTCAATGATTCCGGTTTGGAGGATGGTTAAACACGGCCATTGTCATATTGGGACAAAAATTTTTACATGTCTGGCCTTGGCGTCGATGAAAAAGTGAAAATAATCGTGAATAAATGGGTCGTTTCTGAGAAAGAACACAGAATATAAAAGGGGGTCCAAAAGGGGGTCACCTTCTTTTTGCGTCAAAGGAGGGGCCATGGCCCATTGCCCCCCTCCCCCTGTATCCACCCTTGGTTCGGAGAGGTAATCCCGTCCCCCGCCGGTTTCTACGCCGACGCCTGTACCGATATGTCAGTGATTGCGAAAAGACGGAAGAGACAAGACAAGAGACGGTCCCACCGACTATCCGATCGGTATCGGGTCAAATCTGGAGTTCCTGCTGCACTGAACGTAAAATGGTTGGATGGAACCGAAAATTGAAAATTAATAATTATCTTAACGCCAGCAACGTTGATTGATGACGAGAATCTGATTAACGATGGCTATAGAATCTGAATAGCGAATTGATTGAAAATGGGCTCCAAAATAAATTTGAAAGGGGGAAATTCCCCTTTCCCTCCCTAGCCGTTCAGACACGATTTGAAAGGGGGAGCGGAATTTTCGAAGGGGGGAAATTCCCCTCTTCCCCCCCTTTAAAAGTAACCCTGCATTTACGCTATGGAATGTACCTAACTATTTCTCGTTACATAAAAACTGTAATTCTGAACGTGTTAGCAGGTACAACACATTGTCAAACGTCTCTTCACTGTTTGTGTTACTACAACCTTGTATATGGTAAGGGGCGCCCAGCGGGGAGGGGCGCTTCAATATCGTTTGCACCCCTATCCTAGAATACCTTCCGCCGCCACTGTACAGGAAATGTCTCAACGGACCACCAGATGTTGCGGGTGTTCCCGAGAGCGAAATGTAGCCGGCGCGCGAGTGCCTCATTTAAGCTAAAATATATCTCGTGTGATTGACAGATGTAGGGAGCTTGGCAACCTGGTGATAGAAGAGTGATTCCCAAAAAGCGTTAATTTATTTCAGATGTGTGTGTGGCTGGCCCCGATGGTAATCGACCAAAAACTATGACACAAATGACCACCAGTTTCACAAATGACGACCAGTTATCCATTTACTGGAAATAGCGAAACGGTACCTCCATTTCGTCGACCTTGACTTTCATTACATATCTCCATGGTAACTGGTTCAGTTCAACACCATTCTATTGAGCGTAATTAAGTAGGTATGCGTCAGAATTACCAAACCGACAATCGACGAACGAAGGAGCCTATTGCAGGTCAAATGTCTCACAAAGTCCGAAACGGGTGGCACCGACAGAGGAAAACCAGCTAGCTCAGGCCCGCCGAACAGTGACGGAAATATCCCGCCGGCCGCGCCCCCCGCCCCACCCACTGAATAATGTACCAAACGGGTCCATTGTACACGTGACCAACGCATACTTTGTGACCCCCTCCCCGTCAGATGGAGGGGGGGGGGTGAGTTTACCAGACACAGGATACGGTCAGGGGAGGGGGGGGGGGTGCACGGAGCGGGCAGGGGGCAACGGCCGAGAGACTCGGCGGGGGGACAAGGGAGGGGGAGGGATTCGGGAGAGGGGGCACCGAGGGGGAGGGGGCGAGGGGACAGGTGACGCCGTGACTCGTCGAGTGGGAAAACGTGCAGGCTCGGCTCGGTCTTGTTCTGTCGACAGTATGGTCAGATAGTGTCGGTACAGTTGCCAGATAACGACCAGGTAGAGTCGGAGCTCACGCTTGGTTGCCAGTTCTGTCATGCCGGCGGTATTAGCTGAGCTGGGGCTTGGGACAAAGCACAGAAGCATGATTCAGTTATGAGGCTAAAGGCCGCCGTCCACTGTGCGGAACGCGTGCGGTCCGTACGGAATTTAACACAGAACCCTATGGGCGCATCCGGTGTGCGCTCCGTCCGGACCGCATCCGAACGGCAATCAGCTGTTGATTTTCCGTCAGCTCTCCGCATGCGTTTCGGATGCGGTTGCTACGGAGACGGAAGAGTGATGTCCGACGCGTTGAACTTTCCTGCGGAAAACGCATCCGGAACGTCCGGAACAGACGTGGTTTGGGGCCGTATCGGAGGCAAACATTGTGAATTGTACGAAGAATTGGAACTCGATCATCATGAAGTAAGTAAAAATTATTTCCTTAGAATGGCAAGAGTATTCGCTGCTGGTTACTTGCAATATTTTATTTGGTAATAAGTGATAGGAAACATTTATTAGCTCTCCGCATCCGGACCGCATCCGGACCGGATGCGGCCAGCGTGCGGCGACATTCCGGACGGACTCCGGACGGAATTCCGTCGCAGTGGACGGCGGCTTTAAGTCAGATAGATTTAAAACGGAAGTATTTGAAGCTATGGTTTTCATTCTGGGTACGGATTTAGCATAGACCAGAGGCTATGCAATGCTCATTTTAAATGGAGTGTTAACTCGATGAACTAAAACGTAAACGTTTCGTCTAAATTATGATAAAGATTACGAAACTGCTTCGACATGAATGTGATGGAAACTGGAAATTCCACAATAGCATCTCTATTCTGCACAACCAAGGCGGACCAATTTGACCATGACTTACACCTATAAAGCCCTATTGGATATGTACCTACCTAAAACAAGCCTGATAAAGTGGAACAAACGTACAACGTATGCCGCTCACTTGCTTTGCGACTTGATGTCGCATCACCTCGAAAGCGAGGGCTATCATGCACAAACCAGAAATGAGTTGTTTCGCTTTATCCCAGCTAAAGTGTGTTTTACACGCTGTAATCCGGTCACTATACTGGCCGGTAGGTGCGGCACATCCCTACCGGAGTTGTGTTCTCACAAAACCGGTTTGTAAAACCACCGAGCTCCCGTCGAGGTCCGGTTTTCATCTCCGATTCATTGCTAAGTATGGGTTAGCCCAGATATATCCGGAGCTGCAATATGTCTTCAAACCGGCTTGTACAGAAGACATCAGTGACTGGCGCTAAAGAAATGACGGTGCGTGGCTGAGCTTTGAATTATACTTCCGGAAATGCGGCTAGGCCTTCCGATTCGTGCTGATTGATTTAGGCATTATGATCAGAAATGGTTGAATCCCACTAAGAGTTCAAGCGAAATGGTCCTTACGAATATTTGCATTACACATCTATGAGGCCATAACTTCGTAAAAATCGTTAACAATCAGTCTGTGTTCGCTTTCTCTCTTTTTGGCATGACTCGGGTGTATCGTAACTGCGATATTTCCTAGAAAACCCAACAAACAAGGCAGTGAGATAAATCGTGACGCAAATCATATTTCTCCAAACTTCGTTTCACTATGCTATAGCCCCACCGCAAAAACACTTCAATACACATGCCTCATCTGCGGTATAGCCTAGTTACCTAACCACAACCACACTCATCCGGTCTTAGTTTTGACGTTCCTCGCGTGAGGATGTCCGCTTTGCGGAATAACGAGCATCCCTGCAAATTATCGACCGAATTGCATCACGCACACACTCAGACAAAAAAATGTCGCGCTCGGTTTTACGAAATACTCGATGCCACCTGCCCTGAGCGACCAGCTGAAATCCGATTTCAGATATCCGTTAGGCAACTGTCGGCGCTACATGCCTCGGTGCCGGCGCCACTGCACGTCTTTGCAGAGCCGGAAAATGTGTCAGAGTCTATATAAAGCCGACCATGGCCGGCGCCAGCCTCCCAGAAACAGGGCCGGAGCCGCGGCGGTCGGGGGCCGCCGCCAGCGCTGCAGAGCACCTGGTGAGGGCGCAGAAACTGTGTGAAAAGGTGCGGAAAAGGTGCAAAAGTCGAGTGTAACTGAACGGCAGTGAGTGTAACTCTGTACAAACAATGTGCAACTAAGCACCATTTTACATCTCAGACGGGTGTAATTACGCTACAACCTGGCGTAACTGTGCCCCGATCGAGTGTAACAAGGCGTAAAACGGGTGTAACAATCGAGTGTAAACTGCCTTCAGCGGAGTGCATCAAAAGACAACGGACATGGCAGCCGTGGCGACTTTTGTGACAGTGGTGATGCTTCTCCTGCTCGGGCTTGTCCACAGCGTCCACAGCCGGTCTCCAACGGTGGACAACAGTGGAAGGTGGACTGTGGTGAACAGCTCGGTGGATACAGTGCCAGAGGGGGTCTCACGAGTGTCGCGAGTGCCCGCCGGAGTGTCGGATTCCGAGTGGAGAGGAGTGACCGGAGGAGTGTTCGGAGTGTTACAGAGAGTATCGAGAGTGCTGCCTAGCGATGTGAGGTCTAGCGGAGCACTCACTGGCGTAATGCGTCGAATGTTCGATCGAGAGACACGTGGAGTGCCGGCAGGAGTGCCCGACGTGAGTGACCAGAGATCAGTCGGAGTGCCGAGGTCCTCAGTAGCTGACCTGACCTCCCAAGGCGCGACATCATCTGGAAATGTCCCATCAGCGCCGAGAGCATCTCTTTTAGCACCATCTCTGTCTCAACAGAGATGGAGACCGATCATCCCTCCAGGAACTCGCGACCTGGATGTAACATCACGAGAAGTCGCATCCAATGGCCCTGGGCTGGTCTCAGCAGAAACATCACACAAAGACACCTCGAAGAGCACACAAACATCAGAAGAAGTCCACGATCCTGACAGCGACATGAGTGACGTCGATGACATCGACGCTCCAGAAGAAGACGTCGAAATCCTCGACACCACGCCGATGACTTCCACCACAATGGCGAGGATTCAAAAGGCCCTCATCTACGCCTCTTCTCATGGTGATCAGGGTACCCCTTCAGACGTCATCAGTTCCCTGAATGACATCATATCCAGTGGACACTCCAAGTCCTCCATCGTCCCCGGTCCCACACCTTTTCCAGTATACGACCGTCGCTTTACCGGCAGTCGAGCGCTCTTTCCACAAAGAAGACGCCGTCCAACGAGACTCCGCCTCTGGCCAAACGGTGTCATTCCCTACAGCATATCCTCCAACTACAGCTCCTCGGAGCGGGAGCTCATCGACAGGGTCTTCCGGCTCTTCGAAACCGTCACCTGCCTTCGCTTGGTGCCTCGAACTAGCGAGAAGGACTACGTGCGTATCACTCCCACCGGTCGATGTAGTGGAGAAGTGGGACGCCGCGGAGGACGCCAGAGGATCAGCCTGCCACACTGGTGTCTCAGTTTCGGACACGGCGCACACGAGCTGATGCACACAGCAGGGTTCTGGCACGAACATCAGAGACCGGACCGGGATCAGTTCGTCAGGGTGCTGTGGGACAACATCAAGCCACGACATCGTCGGGCCGACTACGGCCGGAGGCTCTGGGAGGAGCTCGGCGAGGGCAGCTGGCTGGGTCCGTACGACTTCCGCTCGATCCTGCATTACTCGGGACGCGGATCGGCTGTGGATAGCACCAAACCCACCATGGTGGCCAGACAGGGTGGTGTCAAGCTGGGAGGCAACGGCAACCTCACCGACATCGACATCTGGAAGATAAACACGCAGTACCACTGCTGGCAGCGTCCAGTGGCCAACTCTTTGTATGAGTTTGGTGACAATCAGCTAGGAGGACGGCAAGGCAGGCGGTTCGGCAGGCTTGTAGCGAAAGAGGGAAGCACGAGAAATAGTCCGAAGGCATCCTCAGAGCAAGGAGAAAATAATACAAAGGTCTTGCAGACACAAGGCTCAGCAACGTTCACGAGCAAGACAAAGTCCACAGAAGAGGTGCTGGATGCCATCAAGGAGTTGGTTGAATACAGGAACAGGAAAACACCAACTGCTAAAGAGCAGATCCTTGCCGATAATTCAGCTTCAAACGTCAAAGGAGGCGAAGCGAGCACAATTCCTAGTTCGATAGCCCGACACGTTAAACCAGAGCCCAGCAAAGTGGATGTGATAGCTTCAATATTGCAAAGCAAGTCTATTCATTCATCAAACTATCACGTACCAGACACCTCAGAAAACAGAAAGAGTGAAGACACAGGTAAAAACGGGGAAGCCTCGGTAAGACTAGAAGATCAGCATTTCACATCTGATCTGGAGGGCGCACAACACACATCTCAAAGTGATGATCGAGAAACAACCGGGTCTACGGCACCTTTCACTGGGCCATCACACCACCAACGAGATGAATTCACAGCGCAAGGATCTTCCAGTAGGACGGAACCATCACACTTAGACCTACCTTCAGAAGCAAAACATGTCTCTGTGTTTGGAAATGAGGAAGTTACAGATTCATCCCAACTAAAGGTTTCCAGAGGGCATCATCCACACCAGGTCACGTCAGTAACGGAGAGTCAGATCCGTGCGACACCTCCACCCACCCCTCTGACGCGTCTCAGAGTAGTCGTCAAGCTGAAGGACCTGCTGAAACCCACGGCGATCTCACCAACAAGTACAACATCCCCTACGAGAACTGAAGCTACAGCATCTCCTAGCGGCAGGCAGCGTGCCTTCGACAGGGTGGTAATTTCGCTCGCCGATCTACAGAAGCTCAGGGCCAGCAGACAACAAGATCCGGGAAGGATTCTTCAGCAACATCAGCAACAGCTAACTGAGCCACAGGCTCAACAGAACCAAAGATCAGTCGTGAGTTATCAACTACCTCCATTGCCACAGCGTGAAAACAATAAGGCTCGGGCGAGCCCCGGAAACTTCCAGAGAGCTCAAAGAAAGCTTCCGGATAACATTCAGTACAATCAACCAGCCTCTTCATCATCCAGCTCCAGTACTAACAAGAACAACCCGTTCGGTCACATCGGAGGATTCAGTATCGGAGATCGCTGGTTCTTTTCTAGATCTCCAACCAGTCAACAGACTGATGACGTCACTACTGAGAGAAACGTCGGCAGAGATGACAATCCTTTCAGACACATAGGAGGATTCAAAGTCGGGAATGAATGGCATTTCGTTAGGAATCGTCGTCGAACAAAGCGAAGTTTGTTGCAAAGGAGGCAAAAACTGTAATTTCGTTCGACAAATAGACAAATTCCTAACTACCGCTCAGAGTTAAATATGACGCAACATATCATTCATTGTTCGAAGTACGTGTCGAAGCGAAAGGAGGGAAAGTGAGTGTAAACTACACAAGGACAAAGGAACACGAAAGGAGGAGTTGGAGGCGTGGAACAAGTTCAACGTTGACAGCGGGAATGTGGGTTGAAAGCTGATAGGTATTGTATCCTTGAGTGAGACACGCTCATTGAACTAGGTCGCGTTACAATGTGGTATGTGTGTTGTGTAAGGTAGCCAGGCGGCAAAAGATCCCATTTGATGTAAGGGATTCTCTGTGCCAATGAAATTGCCGGATCTCGATTTTGCTGATGATGAATGCACGTAAATATTCGACCAGTGGTTACTGCCAGCAATGCAAGTTGTGGATGCTCAGCCTGAAGTCATGATGAATCAAGCACTGCCATGCCAAAAAGTGTTTCGCGGCACGAAATTCACATTCCCGAATTTCGCGCTGTGATGCAGGACGATCTATTTCACCGGCTCTCACACAATGAAGCCACCTGGCTATGACAAGACACGTGTATGTCAGCTCAAAACACGGCCACTTCCTTTGTTTTACTTCATGCCCAACAGCGACCTAGAGTGACAAGATCTTTAAAAACATGTGTCTGCCGTTATTTAGTTCGAGTTTGGTCCCTGACTCATGCAGAAACACGAAGAAATGTATGTTTACGCTAGAGATGCTATATATGTTATCGCGTGCCATATTGTTCGAAATATTACGGTGCTGTCGAGGACTTTATTGCATGGGTCACAATGTTTGTTGCAATGAGCTTGTTAGATAATGCAGCTGCCTGAGTGCTAATGTGATGTAAGCCACAAAAGGCGTGTAATAGATCAGCTTCCTGGCTGAAACAATGGCGTTACAAGCGTCAAACGCATCGAGCAAGAATTGTCCCAGTCTTTACCACAATGTGATTCAATTAAATCTGCCATTGTTGAAATTTTCACGTAGTATGCTTAAAAAACTGTTGTTGAGCTGGCACGATTACGTGCAGAAATGCCGCACGATCACGAGCATGAACTGGCTTATTTAGGCATTACGTAAACGTTCATTAGGAACTTGAGCAAAAGGTGGGAGTCGCCACGTATGTACCTAACGAACACTTGTTCATTGTCGCCTACGCTGGTACACGCTGTCAGCATTCGAAAAACAGCTGGTTTGGTGTGCATAGGTATGATCATTTTTGGCATCCTAATTCAGAGCAAGCTTATGAAATGTGCCTGTTACAAAAGTAGCCTTGCCTGGTGATGACTTCCGTCCGTATAATTGGAAACGGAACATTGAATTACAACGCAAATCGTTGATAGGAAATAACAATATAAATGTGAATATACGATATATAAATGAAATATTACTGTCGCAGTGCTTTCATATTACCTTGCCGAATACACTGCATGAGCTCAATACGGTCGTTTTAAATCCACTTTTCACCATACCATATAAGGCAGTCGTGTGAAACAGCAAAACACCGTGAACCCTGACAAACGTTTCACTGAAAGGAAGAGGGAAGTGAGCTGTGAACACGCTCCTGGTCCTTAAAACTCCCACCATAAATAACTGATAAGTTTAGTAAACAGCTATGTTACCATGGGTGGAGAACCTGCCCCGGCCACCCCGGCCGTGGCCGGGGTAACTTTCAGCCTACCCCGGCGCGGCCGGGGTAACTTTTCTACTCTTGTAAATCCTAAAAGCTGTCTCCATACGAGAAAAGAAAACTCACGCTCTTCGAATGTTGACTTCCATGGGCGTAATATTGCAAATCAGGTAGGTATTTACCATTTACTTAACTTGCCATAATCTCCAACCCTAAGACCCGCGTGTGGTCGCCAATGCCAAGATTGCTCTCAAATCCTGTTCAGTTTCGAAATTTTGGCGCGCCTTCGGCGCACTTTTTCAAAACTACTGCTTGACCTCATTGCCTTAAACTGACCTGCCACCAACCGCAACCACACCCGTTTAACCGCAGGTTGTTTGAGCAAGCACCTTTGTAAACGCAGCAAAAACGCCCGCCGCCAAACGAGAGGATGAGCCTTGCACGTGCAGACCGGAGTCGGTGTGTTACAAACTGACGTGCACGGCACCCTACTCGCTGATCTATAGCGGTGTGCCAAATTTGAGTGTAATCGGCTCGGCCATTTTCGAGATCTGGAAGCGTCACCCTGCACGTGCGCACGTGCAAGCTGTGTCCAATTGCATTGTGCATGGGACCCTATTCGCCGGTCCCTAGCGGTGTACCAAATTCGAGCTCAATCGGCCCAGCCGTTTTCAAGATCTTGAAACGACCCCTCCACGTGCGCACGTGCAGTTGCATCTCAACCGTGACACATGGAAATACATACTAACTGACTTGTGCACGGCACCCTACTGATCGATCTCTAGATGTTTGCCGAATTTGAGTGCAATCGGTCCAGCCGTTCTTGAAATCTGGAAGCGTCACCCTGCACGTGCGCACGTGCAAGATGGGTCCAAACTGACTTGCGCACGGCACCCTACTAATCGGTCTCTAGCGGTGTACCAAATTTGAACTCAATCGGCCCGGCCGTTCTCGAGATCTGGAAGCGTCACCCTGCACGTGCGCACGTGCAGTTGCACCCCAATCGTGGCACATGGAAATACATACTAAATGACTGCAACCTACTGATCGGTATCAAGCGTTATGCCAAATTTGAACACAATCGGTCCAGCCGTTCTCGAGATCTGGAAGCGTCACCCTGCACGTGCGCACGTGCAGTTGCACCCCTACCAAGACACATGGAAATGCATCGCCTGGAAAGTGTCTACCTCCATGCCAAGTTTTAGCGCAATCGGCCCAGTAATTACCGCGAGCTATTGCGCTTATTACAAAACAGGCACCTCTTGGCTTTGCACGTGGAACGTGCGTTAGGGGTCACCCATATGCATCGAGAGTAGCACACTATGTGAAAGAAGGGAAAAAGCTACCCCACACAAAAAAACCGCACGTGTATCAGCCCAGTGGTTGCCGAGATATAAGTCGTACAAAAACGTCCCCACGGCGGCCGGCCGCTATTTAGCAGTAAAATCGTGTCGCATCCTTCTATTAGAGGTATCCCCGTCACCTGTTCGTATACTGTCTGAGCAAAGGCCATACGTTACGGTCCAAACTCCATAGTGAGGCGGACATACGAATTTACGAGAGTTTAGCGACGAAATGATTCACTTAATTGTTAAGTAATGGGTACCATTAGGTAGACCATAAATTTTATCTAGCATCTCACCGTAGATGCAGTAAAAAGTGCTTTACTTTTCAATGTATGTAAAGACTTGCTCAGCTCAATCAGTTCACTCTGTATTGGCTCAAGCCGTATCATGCGAACGCAATACAAACTAGAGCACCGACAGCGCAGCGCTCCCCAACTCACTGCTCGCCCAGTCCACCCGGGCCGCCGCCACGACGGCCCCCCCCCCCCCGCAAGTAGGCATCCCGCACTGCACCGACAGCCGCGGGCGACCAGCTGACCGGCCAGCTGACCGGCCAGCAGCCGGCGGGCGGCAAGCCACGGATGGCCGACCCGCCGGCGCGGCGAGGGAGGGGAGGGACGCAGCTGAAAGACCCGACTACATATATATCAAAGAATGATACATTATATGTAATCATCGATGACGCGACATAAATCTGCTTTATTGGGTTTAGCGGTGTAGTCTGTGATGCCATCACAATGAAAATAGCCTAGTTTTGTAGAGCATCAAATTCTGATTCCATAACGACTCTCGCTAGTCCATTTTCAATTGTAAATAAGCCTTTTATTGCGATGCAAAGTCCCGAAATGGTGCCGACGGCGGCCGGTCCCCCGATGGTACCATACCATAGATGGTAAACAGGTTAGTTCACATTCCCGCCGCTATGCGGGCGGCGGCGGCGCCACCTGTCCTCGTGTCCGCCTGACACCGTAACGATATAGGTCTGAGCTCAAATCTCGGTAATGTCGTGCTTTTTTACTATATTTCTCAAAAACGGCACCACGTGCAATAAAGTTGTATATATCATTGGAAAGAGCATCAAAAGTTGTATAACCTATCAACTTTTCACATAAATATATCTCAACTGTAAAAAGTTATTAAGCAGCAAAGACGCTCCCATTGACTTTCCATGTTAAAATTTTTCATTTTTAAACGAGCCTAAAAAGAACAAACGAATTTGCACAGCTTAAAGAAGCATAACAACATGTTCTATGGTCTTTTCTCAACAAGTCCTGGAAGTTTAAACAAAATCGTATCATATAATTTTGTACAATGAGCGAATGAAAAAGTCTCTGCAAAAATGCCCATTGACTTAACATGGGGAGCGAAAAAAGTTCAACTTTGACCTCGTGCAAAGTCACGTTACGAAGTTCTGAGGGGTATACGGCGCACACTAGCGTGTACCCAAACGTGTTTGCCATA